CCAGACTACCCGCTTTTGGCTCTATTTTCAGGGCTCTGTAAAAATTATAAATAATCGAGATACAGTTTCGGGAGTCGGGACTTTTTTTACGCAAATTCATTGATCTTTTCAAATCTTTTTTCAAATTTCCAAAATTTTGAAAATTTTCCGAGATATTAAGAAAAAACTAAAGCCCCATTTTTTTCACTTAATTGTTTATAACTTTTGTGATTTTTATCGGCGCGTTTTCGGACCTTCCCTCAAACTTTCTAGGCCAAAAAAACGAATCGAATGACAACTTGGTCGTAATTTTTGGACAGGGCTGAAAAATGTTACAAAAAAAGTACATGTGAACTAGACTGCAAGAGGAAGATTAAACTCCAGTAATATTCACCAAAGCTTCCAAACAGTGCATCACATGGTCTTTTAAAAGACAATGAAAAACCTTCACTAGCTTGATGCTTTATTTTATTGAGAAATTGTCTTAGTCTTGGGTTTTGAATATAATAGTATACTGAAATACAAGGATGTAACAGTTTTTTATTAAATGTGGACATTGTAATTTTCAAATTGAACCAAGTACCTAATTCAAATTTTTAAGATATGAACGTACCAAGCCGAACTTTTTGGGAAAGACAGAACTAATATATAAATAACCATTGACTTATTGAGAGGCACTTTCATCAGGACAACTAAAATATATAAGTCTAGGTATATTTTTATAACATACTAAATATCATAAAAATAAATGCATGAGGTCGTTTAATTTCGATTAAATTGGTACACTCGACCACCCTGTAGNTGGTTGAAGCTGGGAAGATTCTGCAATCGTGTTAGGAATCACACGTTGAAAGGTGAAACTTCGTTAGTCCTTAGCTCGCACAAGTTACTCAACTTCTGAGAGTTGTCGTTCGTATGGGGGCGACAGCTGATTACCGAAAAAACAGATTTTAAATAGATTTTTTAAACAAATTTTTAAATAATAGATACATTTTTATGAAGATATACATATGGAACACTTACTAATGAAGAATAATAAAGAAACCAGGTGTTTTTCCTTATCTTTCTCGTATTTGAGTGGAAATGTATAAATTTGTTCCAGTTCCTTTATTCTCTCGTTAGTGAGTGTTCCATATTTATATCTCTATGAAAATTTATCTATAGTGACTAATGTAATATATTTATCAAAAGCTTGATAACAAAAAGTCTCCTTTTCAACAGCCCTTCCGTATGCGCACAGAAATGCACAGGACGAGAACATACCGGGACGGCAACATGACATGAAGGAAGATTGATCTTACTTTTGAAGATGATCCCTTGGTTTTCAAACACAGTAACGTCAATATCTCTACAAATATTAATTATTCTCTGCCGTATATCCAATATTGAAGCAGGTTCAGTTTCGTACACCTTTTGCTTCACATAGCCCCATGGGTGTCAAATCTGGCGAGCGGGCTGGCCATTCTGTAAGACCTCGACGGCCAATCCAACGACAGGGAAAAGTAGTATCCAAATAGTTTCTTACTTATCTGGATTAATGTGGTAGCGCTCCATCTTGTTGGAACACAATATCCATATCGAATTCATTAGGATTCGCTTCGACGATTTCACTGATGAGAGGGTCAACAGTAGTTTCTACTATATTCAAATACCGTTCCCCTGTAAAATTTTGATCAATAAATAGAGGTCCTACAATATGGTTTCCCAATATTCCTGGCCAAACGTTAATATTTTCTGGATATTGGGTATGTGTTTTCCGGAAAACGTGAGGGTAGGTGTCACTCCAATAACATTTTGTCTGAGAACATTGTTTTACTGTCTCCACACAGTAAAAAGAGACACCTCACAAACATTCGCGACGGAATAAGTAGACTGTTCAGGATTTACTACCATCTCACCAATTATTTGCACTTGCTGTTCTTCCGGAATGGACGGATGACCTGGGGCCTCTTTGTTATGTACACTACCGGTAGTTGTGAATTTGGATACAAGTTCCTCAAATATTTTCTAACGATTCAGAAAACGTTCACTGAAAATCTTTTCGGTCTCGTGAAAGTTACGCGTCGCACCGTTAATAAACACCCCTTCAATTTTTTGTCTGATGGACTAGAATTGACCATTTTAGAGATTGTTGATGTGGTACCTTCCTACTAGTGAAACCGAAAACTAAATGAGAATATTCTAACTGAACAATGATGTTCATTGTCCTACTGAAATTTTTTGTCGTTTTTATGAACAAAAAATAACTTAACAAACTTTATCGGGTTTTTGGAATTGCCATATGGCAGATAAAAAGTAATATTTTTAGAAATATCGATATTATTGTGTTTGTCTTCAGGAAATTATTAAATGTTTCGTCATTCTGTAGTAGGTGAAGATATTGACTTCATATTCTAGGGTTGTGAAGTACTAGTCAGGAGATTCAAAATGATGTGTCACACGACTCCCTTTTCCATTTAATTTTTTCCCAGAATGCGCCCAGTCGTCATCTTGAAAGTTTCATTTGTCAATTTCACTTCAAAATAAAGTATTCATGCATTGATTTGATAATCCCAAATTCCAACTTTTTTGAGTTGACCCGTTCAAAAAATAAAAGGTGGGACAAGCAAAGCACTGCATGATGAAAAGCACTGTATGATGAATAGCTTCTTTTCCAGGTGTTCATCCGTTGTGTATTTTCCAAAGGTCAGCGTTTCGCCATCTTCTCAGATGACATTATCAAGACTTGTTATCGCTCGTTCTTCGTGAGACGTAACGTCGACCTTTGAATGATACCTATTTCAATAAATAAATATATATTCCATTCCCAGGTATGGAACGCCGTTTTACTTTTTATTGTCACAAATATTCATTCCTCAATTTATTCACATAACAATTTATTTGTTTGAATTTAATTGATTCATGCATTTGTTGGACACATTAAAAACGATTGTTCGCAGAATTTGTTCTATTTTAAATGACACTCGATTTAAAATGTTACATGAATAAAATTGTTATTTGAATAAAAAAGACTAATGAAATAACTTGAAGGTTTTATTGATTCCGAAGAAAAATATTGTTTCAGACTATTGACAAATGGAACGCCAATTTACTATATATTATGCTTAAAAATAATCTATATACATATGTATAGTTCAACTCAGCAATGAACAAACATTTTTATTCAACAGTCAATGGAATGTACTATTCGAGTAAATTCAACAAACGTTTCAATTCCGCATATAATTTTGACCTCTGAATAAAATGTTAGTAACTTATATGACTTTTGAATTATAATGAAACTTTAAATTCACTTTCTAAAAGTAAGTTTGGGAATAAAATTTCAATGAATATATTTGAGTGACTGTCAAAGATTTCCCATGAAACATTGTTAGTAATAAAAATAGACTTTCGTTTGTCTGAAAATATAAAAAATTAACTTTCCATACTAAATATTTTTCTATGAATAATAAAGATTGTTATATTTCAATTTTATTGAAAGTGTTGAATATTCCCAACATTCACTTTAATGCATTCAATTTAAAATTTGGTTACAACTTTTGTGCAAAACATTCTCAAGCAAGTATCATTTTATTTCATCAATCTTTTTAAAAAGCTAATCTCTGACAAAGATTTAAAAAGTTTGTTGTATTTGAAAGATACATTTTAAAGGGTTGTTGATCATTTTAATTCGGCGCTGGTATCGAGCGGATTTATCAAGAACTTCAAGTGTTACATATGGCAAAATGCTAGTTCATTTATAGTACGACAAAACGCCGTTGAACCGTGGCGCCGATTATAAATTATCAACAATCAATTTAATTCATGTATCACTGAAACTCAACAAACAAAATGATTCAGCTCATTTCAAAGGAATATTAATAAATAATTGGTGTTTTGTAAAAATGAATTGTTTTGACTGTTGCATTTAGGTGATACATGAATTAAATTGATTGTTGATAATTTTTATTCGTCGCTGCGGTCGAACGGATTATTACCGTACTATGACCAACGCCATACATATATGCAGTTAAGTAGTTTCACAAAAATACGCCTGACGTCAGCGCCGAATAAAAATTATCAACAATCAATTTAATTCATGTATCACTGAAATTCAACAAACAAAATAATCCAGCTCATTTCAAATGAATATTAATAAAAAGCAAAACGGCGTGGCACGCTGTTTTACTGTCTATTAGTGTAACCTTCGTTGTCGTAGATTGAAACGGGTTACTTTGTTACTTAGGAACTAAATTATGGGCTGCCGGAACTCAGCGGAGAGGGATGGTGGGTAAATATAAGTCCACTTGGAGGATAAGTGTATTGTTTCTTCAAACACGCCAAGCTTGTGGTGATTACAGGCTTATGGCCCAGAAGTATACTTTTGGGTTCACAGATATAAAAGTAAGCAACTTATGATTAAACTTAAGGTGTGGTAAATACTTGGTTCCTTCTAGAATTTGCAATTTGTGCCGCAATGTTGATTCGAGGTCGTGCGGGAGGGTGTAATACATAACAGGAAGACCTTACATGCATGGGATATGGGAGAATAGTCTCCAGCAGCACGATCCAACCCCTGTACGCAGTCCACTCAGGCAATGATCTTTTCCATGCAGATAACTTGCTCCTCGGAAGACCGTAATCAGAGATATAAGGGGTGTAGTGGTCTAGCCTTGCGAGAGATATACCAGGATATAGTTCAAAATATCGACTTGAGGTGGTAATAAGAAGGCCTAAAATGAGATTAATGTTTAGAAGGATATACCCTTTAGGGTATTTTCGGGAAGTGGGTTCTTACCGTAGTTGTTGTGTGGCCTGAAGATTGGAATTTGACAAGAGAACGGGTACTTAATAAAAATCCCCAATACTGTGGGCGAGTTATTCCTTTAGATAACCCAAATATAGTTATTCCCGTATTGAATATTTTGGTTTCTTCAAATCCACAAAGTGATGAGCTCAAAATTCTTGCTCCAGAGAAGATAACCAAACTCAACTCTCATTACCAGAGAAAAAACCCTTTTCTTTTTCCTTTCCTTTTTTTTCCCTATCAACGTTATTCAAGGTCGAATTATTCTGATTGTCTTTAGGCACAAAAAACTGAACTGAATTGTTTTGAATGTTATACAGGGTGGATGCTGTGCATAAATATATGATTTCAATACATTACTTTTCTGTTATCTTATAAATCCGCTCATGCATTTTGGGAACCGTAACATTAGTATTTTGTAAAAATGAATTGTTTTGATTGTTGCATTTAAGTGATACACGAATTAAATTGATTGTTGATAATTTTTATTCGGCGCTGAATTAAAATTATCAACAATCGTTTTAATTCATGTAACTATAATTATCAATAAATAATTTTATTCATGTTTTACAGAAATTTTAGTAAATTATTCGATAGTTACAAAAAAGTATATATGACAAACATTTACTTCCAAACATTTTAAACAATGAATCTATATTATAACTGTTCGCAACTATTCATCAAACAAATTAATTCATGTAACATTTTGAATCAAGTGTCATTTGAAATAGATCAAATTTTGCGAACAATCTTTTTCAATGTGTCGAACAAATGCATGAATCAAATAAATTCAAATCAATAAATTGTTAGTTGAATAAATTGAGGAATGAATATTCGTGACAATAAAAAGTAAAATGGCGCGGCGTTCCATACTAACACGACCACATTGACCACGTGAGGACTCAAAATTAAAACACCAGCGAAGACTTCAGATATCTCAATTTCTAACGAGTTGGATGTTACTCGTCGGAATGTATTCGGTAAACTTTGGTATAACGCGCGTATAATGAATTAGCTGAAAGTTGATATATGCTCAAATAGTCGCACTTTATCACCTAATTGTATTCTTCTGAATACGTTCAAGGAAAGCAGGTAGTAGGAAGAACTCAACTGCTCACAATTCGTACAAATCCAAGGTATATGACGGTTTTTTCAATAAAGAGATTTTCGTATACTCTTTGGAAGTGGTATACAGGGTGATTTCCTAACACATGAAATAGTAGAGATTCACGTACATCAATCAATATGCCATAACGTTGAGAAGGTGACTCTCTGTATTTAATTTCAATAATATAGTTCGTATTTCAATAATATAGTTCTGGACCAGCGTTATTAGAAGTCCTGTTGCAATTTTTGCAGTAGTTGGAATATCTCGCATTTTTTTATTCGAGTATTTTGGAGTATACGTTGGAACGTTTCTCATATATTTTTTTCAAGACTTCTGCTCTAATCATTTCCACGCCAGGGGATTTATTGAATTTTAGATTTTTCTGATTTTTTTATCAACATATTCTAGAAAAATCGGTAATATCCCAAACTCTCAACAACGACTATCATTGAAATTATTCTGTATGTGTAGAGTAGGGAGGGTGAGTGTACATTGTACATCCTCCCGAGGAGTTGTCCTCCTAGGTCATCGTCCTGTCCTTTCCAATAAGGTGGACAAGTCACTAGGAGACATCTCCTTTATATCGACAGGTGTAGGCCAAGACTCGCCGAACACACACTCTCTTATTGACGATAACTCCGGATATTCGCATTGGACATGCATGACAGTTTCATCTTCCTGTTCACGTAGCCCACGAAATTTGAACATTCACCATATTTTTCAAACAGTCCAGGTTGATGTTGTGATATTTCAGATATACAGCAAGTTTATTCAAAAAAGGCTTGAAATGCGACCTCCAGGAAAAAGATTTATATGAAGTTATCAGTAGCTGCAATTCCAATAAATGCGGAAATAGGTTGGGAAAGCAATGGAAGCTCCAAAATCGAAAAAGTTCCTCGCCATCGATAATTAAGTTAATATGGGTTCTATTTGGTTGGAAGTACATTTTAATGGGATGTACTAAAATGACAGTGACAGTAATAAGAAGGTGAGTGTACGATTTCAAATTAAAACCGTCGATACTTATGCCTATTAATTTATTATTATTTATACATGATGATAATAATAATGATGATAATAATCTTCATTTCAAAAATATGCCTACTATTACAGATTGTTCACAGACCACATATAATGAAATTATGTAAAAAAACAAAATTTATATGAATCTACTGACATGAAGCCACCACCTATACCCATAACTATATAGATTTCTATAATTCCATTTGATTCAAATAATCACTGAGACTATATGGTTCTGAATCTAATAAACAATTTTTTATTCCTTCTCAGATTTATTTAGCTCCTCAATCCCTGGATTCGATCAGGCAATTTATTATACAGCTTCATTGACGTGTAATTTTTCCAGTTATAGTTAACCCACGTATAGGGAGCAAGAAATCATGTTTTCTTGTTAAGTAGGAATGTTGATTGATATTGTTGGCGAACCGATGTCTATTTTTCAATAGAAACATTGAGCATTCATAAATATAAAGGGGGTATATCGTCATTATCCATTATTCTTGAAAACATATCGACATGATTGATTATACTACAGATTATTCATCATTCTGATAACCTTTTTCAAGATTACAAATATTTTTTTAGCTTGACAAATTTGTTTAGACTTTCACGGCTGAGGTTTTCAGTGTCATTGCTTTTCGAGTTTGAAAGCCGTGGATTTTCGGAATTTCCTCCTGACGTTTCGCTGGCGCGAGTGGCTGGCTTCTTCAGAGGTTTAACCATCAAGGCTTGCTGTCCGATGACTAACTTTTAGGCTTCGTAAAGCGTATTTATGCCTTATCAGGTAATCCGTTGTATCCGTACCTGTATTTGTACCTGTAGTCGTACCTGCACTTGAACCTGAAACATTCCACACACACACATTTATACAGGGTGTTCCTTAAACACATGCTAATATTTAAGGAGGTAATTCTTAGACCCATTTTAAGAAAAAAACTTCCTATGGACGTATGTCCTAAACGCCTTAACTTTTGAGATACAGGGTGGCAAAGTTTTCATAAATAATCAGTTTTTTAATAATAACTGTAAAATCTGTTGAATGGATTTTTTTCATTTCTTCCGGTAATTCATTGAACTCGTAGAAGCCCTTAAAAAATAACGAATTCATGGTACTTCCGACTGCCGGTCTGTTTATATGTATATTATTGGAATTTCTTGTATTATAATTATGAATGTTTTTATTGAATTCGATGTAATCTTTAAAATATGCTGGTGCCATTCCATTTACAATTTTGTATACTAGAGTCATTGTAAAATAGTAGAGTCTACTTTCAACTGATAACCAATTCTAATAATCGAGCATACTTTTTATGGGAGTACGGCGATTTGTTTTCAAGATTACTCTCATCCCTCGATTTTGTAGTTTTTGTAGCATATTTAATTAATTGAGTTTAAATAAGAATAATAATAACGCACAATAATCAAAATGTGGTTGAATAATGGTATTGTAAACTGTAACTTTGGACTGCATTGACACATTTTGTGCTATTCTACTGAAAAAATATAGTTTTTTTGATATTTTCTTATATATTCAAAGTGATTGTCAAACTTTAAAAAATTATCCAGTTGAAAACCAAGGTATTTTACTTCAATTTTTTCGTTATTGATATTGAGGTTTATACCGTTGATATCTAGAGAAATATAATTATATTTCGTGGTAAATATCATTGCTTTTGTTTTTGTTCCGTTTAACTTCAATTTGTTAGAGCATAAATACTTATTTACCGCTCCTAAAATCCTACCCATTTTATGAATAGCTCTATCTAAATTCATATCGCTACACATAAGCAACGTATCATCAGCAAATAGGTTCATGAACTCAGATTCAATAAAAAGTTCAATATCATTTAAATATAAAACAAAAAAAAAAGTGGGCCCAGAACGCTACCTTGGGGAACACCTACATCAATGTCTTTTTCATTTGATAGTGCATCTTTAAAACGGACTTTCTATTTATTAATTTATTTTTAACACATCGACACGTGTTTCGATTACCAAGTGATCATCTTTAAAGAGGAAGATTAAAATTTCCGTATCGTTTAGATTCGGGAACTTGTGGTTGCATGCCAAGGAAGACATTACTAGACATTACAAAGAGGAAGATTTAAACTCAGTTTCAATCTTCCTCTCTGAAGATGATCATTTGGTGATCGAAACACGTGTCGAGGTGTTAAAAATAACGATTTGGTGATGGGAAAAAACTCCAGTAATATTCATTACTACACCAAAGGTTCCAAACAGTGCATTATAAGTATATATCTCATAGCCAAACCATGGCAACTTTTATTGGTACATACATATTTCAATAGGGGCATTTCTATTAATTACAGTTTCACATGTCTCCAAAATTTCATTATAAATTGTGTCAACGTCAATAGAAGTTAAATTAAAAGTTGTGCATCATTAGGTTAATTTTAATACTTTGTGACGTTCTTATAAACCTTCATTTCATTGCAGAAATTAACTGAAATAACCGTATGATCCGTTATTTTTGGACAGTCGTGTGCTTCAGCTACTATATTATTTTTATTGATATTGGATATCACATAATCAATGGATGACTTACTAATATCTGTAATACGTGTAGGTTTTGTGACACTTTATAAAATACCATAAGCAGAACAAATATTTTTAATTTTCTTTCCATGAAATGAATCAGTTAACCAGTCAATATTAAAATCGCCAACTAACAAACGACGATATAAGTACTAAATAATACATCAAAAATTTCTTCAAGGTTTTCAGTGAATATGGCCTTAGAACTTGATGGTGAACGGTACAAACATCCAATCAGATATAATAATAATAGAAATTCGGAACATTGGAGTTATTGGTGGTATTTTTTGTTGGGAATTCAATTATTTGTCCATAGTAAAAATCTGTAAAATCTGTTTTTTCGTTAACCAGCCGTCGCACCCCTAAGAACGACAACCCTCAGAAGTCTAAACTTGTGTGAGCTAAGGATTAACGAGGTCTTACCTTTTAACGTGTGATTCCTAACACGGGTTGGACGATAGTAAGTGAAGATCGATCGTTCAGACTAGGGCTTGAACCACCGATCAACACGGCAATCAATTCGAGTGAGTGAACAAAGCACCCACGCCAAACCGCTTGGCTACCAACCGACCTGATAAATGGAAATCCTTGATCTTTACCTCGTAATCTGCCATTTTGGTAATGAGAAAATTATCAATGCACGTGCTCGAGGAGGCTGTCACTCGGGTTGGTTCATATATTGTACACATTATGTTGTACTCGGCTATTACATCCTCTAGCTGGTTCATATTCGAGCCACTTTTCAAAAAATTAATATTAAAATCCCCTCCTATAATAACTTTCTCATTATCCCTACAAATTAATGTGAATAATCCTTCAAGTAAGTCTAAGAACAACTGGAAATTTCCCATTGGTAGTCTATACATACTGATAAAGGTAGTTTTATTTTGTTGTGTGATATGCCTGCGAAAAAAAATTGAGCAATTCGAAAAATTGTTTTCCCCGAGGGAATCTTTTTGACTCACCCTGTAACTGTATACTTTACGAGATTAGAAACGATACAGCACTTTTCAATATATATTCAGCTAAGAAATATCCACACAATTCACGATCATTCCCCTCGTAGAAATAAGAAAGAATATTACAAAATTTCTGTTCGTTGTTGTTTCGCTACTTTTCAATCATTCATTGATTTATTGTTTCAGTATTTTAGAACCAAATGCAGTCAGCAGCTTGGTATCCTACTTCAAACCAGGACAAACGAATATATCCAAAAACGACGCATATTTTCATGCACTCGTAGTTTTGATGCTGTACATTTTCGACTGTTTCTTCGTCCATAATTATACGCTTTGGGTGCAGCAAATGGGTATCGAAATGAAAGTAGCGTTTTCCTCTTTTCTCTACAGGAAATCGTTGAAACTCACCCCAGCTGAGATCTCTCGGATAACACTTGGAAATGTGGTGACTTTGATAACGAAAGATGTCAATACCTTCGTCGATTCCATACAGATGTTGAACGATTTAGCGATAGGAAGCGTACAGACTGTCGTTGTATGCTATTTGATTTACAATAAAATGGGAGTTACTTCACTCATTGGGATCGCTGTTCTTTTTTGTACATTACCGATACAAGGTAAATACCACTCACCATTAATAAACTGTATTTTCTTGAAGTTCACTTGCATAGTTTCTCTTTAGGTTCACAGTACTAACTCCTAGGTATATACTTTATCTAAGTATATACCTAGGAGTTTGACTGTATCAGATAGTTGGACGTTTTTAAGATTCAATGTCTTTCTCAAGAACAAACCCATTTGCATTCAGTTTCAATTGGTTTCTGTCACACCAAGAAACCATAGCGTCCATGACTGACTTTATATTGAATTTCAACTCATCTATTGTGTTACCAGACACTGATATGGTAGTGTCATGTGCGAACATTATGGTGTAACCATATTTGATATATTTCGGGAGATCATTTATATATATTGAAAACAGCAGCGGTCCTAACATTGAACCTTGTGGCACACCAAGCATAATATCTTGAATATGTGATTGTTTGACGAATTATTATTTTTTCAGGTTTCATTGGAAATTGGACCATAAAAGTGAGATTGGCACTAGGTAAAAAATGTGACGAAAGGTTACAAATCATTCAAGAATCGTTGTCGTTCATCAAAATTGTGAAAATGTATACGTGGGAGTCATATTTTATCAAAAAAATCAACACGGCAAGAACGTAAGTAAAAAATAAATTCCCTAACGGGAACGTTACTGCTATATTTGTATTTTGAACTGACGAATACTTCTTATTTTAAGAACAAACCACAAGCACTACAGGAAAATCCTTAAGGTGCTCTCAGAGAAGTGCCTGTGCAAAAGTAGCGGTTTACATTGGATTTGAATCGATAGAGATTGTTACGTTTCAATTCAGCACTAGATCAAAACTGCTCCTATGTGACCTTTCAAAACGCTACCTTACCTTTTTAGATCTTTATTCAGAGGATGTTAACAATCTGATTCAGTTACAAGTTGATTTTATTTATTTAACATCATAGTAATGGGAATCTTCCGTTCCATAGAAAACCATACCTGAAATGTACAAGAATATATGTATGCTTCCTAACTAACTGCTTTGATCAGTACTTACCACTCACTTCGCATTCTCCTATTGCCAATTGACGTTGGAGATCCGAAATTCCTCGCTAGATTGAAATAGTTGTTATTGTATGTTTCTCAGTTTTCTTCACCCATCATTTTTCAGCCGCTATCTTCCTTATTCTTTGTACCTTTCCAAGAATATTTATTGCATAGATTGTTATTCATCACTTCCAGAAGGTTTACTTACATATTAGAGTCATATCGCCTGGAAAACAATATTAGTTAGCTCTGAATACTGTTTGATATTTTCGGTAAATATTCTGCATTATATGAATGTTCAACGTGAATGGCAATGTGTTTGCTTTCATTTGTAAAACGCAAATTGAGGTGTTTTCTTCCTTTTGCAATTGCTTGTTGACACCGATGCGCCTACGTCTGAGCTCACGCGACGCAAACGAGATTGTCTTACCTTCCAATACTAGTATTGCAAAGCAGCCTTTGCAATTCCAGCAACATGATTGTGCCAAGACGTATTTGAGAGAATCGATGCCTGGGTTTTTGCAGCATTGAATAGAACCTGGTTACTTTCACCCCAATTCGAAATCACTTCTTGATCCTCATTGAGATATGCAACTCCTCCTGCCGGTGAAGATGTGCCTCCGTAGCCGATGTCTTGGAATCTGAAATACTCCATCTAATAATGAAGACAAATTTTCGGTATTAATTTAGTCACTTCCTTTAGAGTACCTTTTTTATTTTTCTGGTCCTCCATCCTCTGGGTCGGAAACATTCACCTCCATCTCTTCTTGTTCCTCTTCTTCTGATGTGCTGCTTGTTGAAGATTTCAGTTGTTCAAGTGAATTTACACATTTAAAAAACAAGAGAAAACCTCAATGAGCAATAATAAGCAGTAAGCAAAGTGTTCTATATGGATAATTATATGAACATTCAAATAGAATATAAATAATCAACTGCACTAATTTGAGTGCGATTTATTAATAATCTTGAACAAGAATGGTTTGCAAGTTCACCGTTGTGAGTCGGGAGTCGGGGTACAAACATATTAAAAAAGCTGGTTTTTATACGAATATATGGATTCCTGATACATAGTGCTACAAATACACATATCGGGTGTCCCACATTTTATGTGACAGGCAATATCTGGTTTGTTGAAGGAGATACACAAAAATGTTTCATACAAAAGTTTTAGGAGTTCATGAGAGCTATATTTTGATATAATTTTTAAATATACAGGGTGTTTGGTGTAGGTGCTACAGACCAAAATTCTATTTTTTAAAATAGAACGCCCTGTAGATTTATCACCGCTTGATTTTTTCCTATGGGGTTATTTAAAAGATATTGTTTTCACTACTCCCCCTTTGAATGTGGATGATCTGAAAATGAAAATTCGGCTATCTTGCTGTGATATTACGCCTGATATTATAAGAGCGACTTGTACGAGAGAAGTGATTCGACGTTTCGAAGCCTGTATAATATCTAATGGGCATGTAGCCAGGACGTCCTTTTGTTCTCTGGAGTAACAAAAACTGCTTGTCTTCTTCAACAGTATTTTTAAAGCATCTTGATGGGATCAAAAAGTTAAAGGGCTGACTTGGAAAGCTTTTACTTTTTCACTTTGATGCTCGTTGATGCTGTAGAAGACATAGTTCTCAAACCTTGTTAGAAAAAACTCACTAGAAGAACGTTGTTCAATATAATGTTCACAAAATTATATATTGTTTGATAATGTATAATGTTCGAAGGGAAAACATTGATCAAAAGTGATTGAATTAAGTATCTTTCTTGCCATTTTCCACTTATTTCCTAAAAATAGCGACTCTGAGGATTCAGATCATGTCCGGTCTTGGAAAATAATAGATATCTAAGTACAAATATAAACGTTTTAACAAATTTTTTTTTGTATGACAAGAAAACTGCAATTTTTGGCAAAAAAATTGTTTATATCAAATTTATTCTGGATGAGGCACGGGTTAACATTATCCAATGGAGCTGAAACTTTAGACGTCAGGATGATATGAAAAGTTTGTTGGCCAAACTGATCAGGCCATTGAAACCCTCTTTGGAGAATGGTAACAGAATCAGAGATTACTGCTTGAAAATCGTTGAGACCGGTACATGATACTAACCTTTAGAATGCTTTCGGAGGTGGAAATAACACTGTTTGTTATGAGGGGGCGCAGTTAGAGTTGTGGAATTATTGGAGTTCATTTTTTGACGGGGCCAAACGTATGTGAAAACAATGGTTGAATTACAACATTGTTGATAGCTTTCTGTAATTTTTGAGTGAACGAATAGATACACTTGAACTGTGGTATCCTCTATATTGTGCGTTTTTTTGAATTTCAGGAAAGAGCTGAGCAAAATGCTTCTAGGATTCTTCTTGAACATGACGATGCTCGTAACCGGATTATTATTTGCCAGCATTGGTTTCTACGTCTTTCTTTCAACGAATATTTGGATGGGTTTCCCGACAGATACCACACTATTATTCTACTTAGTATCTAACCTTAAACACCTTAAACAGGCACTTGGAAACCTTGTAGCTCGTAACATAACAATTGTTGCACAATGTTATGCTGCTGTGACTAGAATAAAAAGACTGATGAACGCTGGAGAGTTACATCCCAAAATAGGAGTTCAAAGTGAACCAAAGATACATTTGGAAAAGGGAACTGTACGTCTTGAACATAAGGAACTTTTGAAGAATATAACTTTTAGAGCTGGTCCAGGATTGACAGTGGTAACTGGTAGAGTTGGATCCGGAAAAAGTCTACTTCTGAAAACTATCTTGCAAGAATATCCATTGGAAAGCGGTAGTTTAGTGTGCTATAATAACATTTCGTACTCGTCCCAGGATCCTTGGTTATTTCCATCTTCTTTAAGACAGAATATAATCTTTGGTGAAAAGTTTAATGAAACTAGGTGAGTTCGCTATTCTATTTTGGTTTCAATTTCAAGTTTTGCTTCTACATGAACAGATTTTTATATATCTACAAGAACCCAAATGGCATTTCAATATACATTCATTATTCACTCCTTGATCCGTATTACGTAAAATTGCAAACGAAAATTTCTATTTTTTTTTCCTAATACTTTCTTTGTCATACACAGTATGACACAGTATGAGAAGTAAGCTTGTGTGCGTGAATAGTAATCGTGTTCGGAGCGGCGACAGCGCCATTTGCACGAACTTCACTCTCCGCTACTGTGTCCAAGCAGAGCGAACAGGTTAGAACTCGTTTTTGCGTTGCAGAGAGAAAAAAGTGATATTGCAAGTGTTTTTACGCGATATTTGATTCGAAAACTAATGTACAGATGTGTTAGTACCTGTGTTAATGTATTATTTCAATCCCGAGCTTATTATAGTAGTCCAACACATTAAATTCAAACCAGATTTTTTCGCCGGTAAAGTTTGAGGTTAAAATTGCGTCATCTTTTTTACCTACGTGTGGATTGGGGCAAGATGATCGGGGCATAATGGGTCACTATCCCGTTTTGCCCCGCCCTTGAGATTAAAATAACATTTTCTATGTTCTGATAATCAAGTGACTGAAAAAGGTAAAAAACAAATAAAGAAACCTGGAAGAAAGACTGCAAAGAAGATTAAAAAGACAACTGACAAGGAAAACCTGCAGAAAAAGCGTCAAACCAAGAGGTGCAAAAAAGAAACTGAATCGGAAGATAGTTCATCCCAAGAAGAGGATGATGACTGTACTTGCATCTATTGTGGGTACTCACACTCAGATTCAACCGAAGGTTGGGTCATCTGAGGCGTGTGCCACGGTTGGGCGCATAATTCATGTGCCGGAATAGATGAGGAAGATGAAGAGGCACACATTTGTGAACGCTGTCTACTCGATTAAAAAGCGTACTCGTTTTGCCCCACAGCGTTTCCCATCTTACCCCAGTTATGGGATAAAACGGGAAGTTTGCCGAGTAAGTTCTGTGATTTTGCATGCTGCAACGTTTAATTATAAGAGAGAAATGTATAATGGTTACCTCTTTTGTTAAAGAATGTTATTAAAGAGTTTAATTTTCCTTGTATAACGAGTTTTGTCTTAGCTATCTCATCTTGCCCCAGTCTCCCCTACCTGAACTTTACACAGATTTCTCCCACTGGCCTAGAAAACACATTCAGTGATGGTGATCTATTGAAATCCAATTGGTAATTCAGTAAAATGTTTGAATTTTCAAGTTTATTAATTTTCATTGCTTTCAAATAATTTACCTCAAAACCATTATTTTCTATGTGTTGAATTTCGAAATCTTCGTTGAAGATATGAATTTCTTCCGAAAGATGATTTGAATATGTTGAACTTGTTTTCTCAAATGATATTCCTTGATGCGATTCCTAAATGTTCTGCCTGTTTGACCAATATATAACTTAGGACAATGTCCACAATTTAATTCATATACTCCTGATTTCTCTAATTTGGATGTTTGGTCTTTATTCTTTTTAAATAACTTTCCTAACGTATTACCTGTTCTATATGCAATTTGAATATCTATTTTATTAAAAAATGAACCTACTTTGTTTGTTGTTTGTCCGAAATATGTCAAAACTTAATTATTTTGATTTTGATCATCTGACTTATCAGTAGGAAAAACCTCCTGAATTGCTTTCTCGTAGACTTTTTTGAAAGTAATCTGTCTATTAATTCAGCTTTGAATCCGTTGTTTACTGCTATTTGTTTAATGATATTGAGTTCTTCATTGAAATTATCCATTGATAGAGGAACATCGACTACTAATCTATGAGTCCTGCTTTCATAAGATGCTATTTTGTGTTGGTACCGATGGTTGATGAAGAACAAACAATGAAATATAGTTCTTCAGAGAAAGTGTTCGAAATATCTACCAACTTCTCCTACACACAGGTGACACCTTTTCTGAACGTTTTTTGTCGAATTAATTAGTTCAGTAGGAGTAAAATAAATAAAATTTTGCATCACTGCTTTATCTAGAATTAGTCGGTAAAATACCCAGAGGTTGAAGTCTATGGATGTTAGATCCGGTGGTCTAGCCGGCCAATAGTTGGGTCCTTGGTTGGCTATCCAATTATTACCAGAATTTGTAGCCAAAAAATTGATGAGGCAGTGTTTTGAAGCGCAGCCCTGTCATGTTAAAAATATCTTTTTGTGCTCCATTAGTAGCAATTCATCAACAATGGGTTCAGAGGGGTGAGACAACATGGATGGGAGTGCCATTATAAATGCCGATAATTTTACCCCTGAAACCACCTGCCCACACACTGGATTCAAATCTTCCTCGACTCCACAATAGAATGAGGATTTTGTTGTGCCTAAGTATAAGAATTGTAGCTGTTGCTTGCGTTTACGCAGCTCTTTTTATCAAGTACTTTCTTGGTTTTTCTCATTTTGTCTTCAATCGAGGACCGCCTGCCCAGTACGGGAAAAAATTAGATTTTAGCTCTCGAGCTAAAATGCAAAAAGTGCTTTGGAAATATTTCCATAGAAACAAGAAATTTTTGACAGGAAAAAGTTGCAGCAATTTTTCAAAAATGCACATTTTCGAAAAACATGCTGCAATTCAGAAACGAGGATAAATATCGATATGCGGTTTCCACCATTGAAATTTTCATAAAATTTGTTCCTCAGAGACAGCCATTAGTTTTCAACCAGTTTGAAAATAGGAGTTATCCTTTGAAAATGTCCAATTTCGCCGACTCTGTACAATAGAAGAAAAACTAATATTTCCTAGGATAATGAAAAACAGTGCAATAATACAACCATTTCTGAATTTTAGGTACTCAGAAGTCGTCAAAGTTTGTGCTTTGGAGTACGACTTCAGTTTATTCCCTGAAGGAGATGCCACAATAATCACTGACAGGGGGTTGAATTTGAGTAAAGGACAACAAGCTCGAATAAATTTGGCAAGAGCCATCTACAGAAAAAGTGAAATCTACCTTTTGGACGATCCATTAGCAGATCTGGACGTGAACGTGCAAAGCTACGTTTTCAAAGAATGCATACAAAAATATTTGAAAGATAAAATTTGTGTCTTTGTTTGCCAAACAGCAGCTTTCATACAAGAAGCCAACAATGTGTTTGTGATGGAAAACGGAGAAATAAAAACTTCTGGGAAGCCCATTGAAAAGATATTGAGGGAAATATATGACATTAACGGAAATGATAATGATGATACAAGTCAAGTTCAAGAAGAGGAATGTGAAATTACAACGAGTGAAACCGAGCATCTTCTGAAGCCTCCTGTCGAGAGAGGGAATATTTATATGGAGAAAAAGAAAAGTGGCATTGTCAATTACGGCGTGTATATGAGTTACATTAAATGTGGCGGAGGACTGATTGCCTTATTTTTTGTGGTGTCATTAGTTATTCTTCTTGATTTCTCTGGAATTTACTCTAAAGGATTACTAACCGAATGGTGAGTAATGGACTGTATAATGATTTTCTGTTGATCGAAACTGTTGAGATTGGGAAAAAATAAGCAAAGTTCCATCAGTCAATTCAATCAACTGCACT